TATGACCGTACGCCATCTACAGATAGATACATAGATGGTGAACAGGTTGAGATAGATAGATAGATAGATAGATAGATAGATAGATAGATAGATAGATAGATAGATAGATATGGAAAAACTGAGATAGATAGATAGATAGATAGATAGATAGATAGATAGATAGATAGATAGATAGATAGATATGGAAAAACTGAGATAGATAGATAGATAGATAGATAGATAGATAGATAGATAGATAGTATTATGGTAATTTACCCACGCACGCATGAACTCTTCCAGTTATAAATAGGAGCAGGTACTGCCTTTTGGAGAGGGAAGTTTTCAGCAGTCAGCTCTGACAGTCGGACCGAACATTCTTGCTGTAACACTCTCGTTTGTATATGTTTGTATTACTGTTTCTGTTAATATATTTGTTTAACTCAATTCCTCTCTTGTGTTTTTATTTCTGGCCCTAGCAAGGCCACAACAGATAGTTAATGAACAAGCTGAGATAGATAGATAGATAGATAGATAGATAGATAGATAGATGCTAGGCCCTGTTCGAGGGTTATTGTAGGAAGCTATTTTGTGAGCCATAACTGTAAGGTGTAAGAGGCGCAATTTATGCGTGTATAGGGGAAAAGTTACAGTTAACCCTAGACATGAAGAGGCTAAGATTGTCGTGATCGGGAAAGTATTTTTTTGGAGCCTGTTCCACGAAGTAGCGGTTCATGAATAGAATCTGTTCAAGTGGAACTTACTCATGGAATACGAAGGGAATGGATGGCGGCGATTCGCCTCAATAATCGATGCATAACGGGTCTTAGCTGTGTTGGCTAGCATTGGGGGAAATATTTTTTCTATAGAAATCACGACAGAGCAGCGAAAGGCCTGCAATGTTTCGTCTGCGGTTTGCAGGGTGGAAGATAATTGATCACCGACAAAACCGCGTGGATCCTTCTGGGCTGGAATACTCTACAGATTTTCTTTCTTTCTTTTTGTCATTGTTCCTTTCTTCCTCTACTTTATTATTTTCTTTCTTTATTTCTTTCATTTATTCTTCCTTCCTAGATAGATAGTGAACAGGCTGAGATAGATAGATAGAGAGATAGATAGATAGATAGATAGATAGATAGATAGATAGATTTATATTTCGGAAAATAATTCCTATTTATCTGTATCTCACTCATTTAAACCGTCATTTAACTCCTCTCTTTAAAACTTCTCTCTGTTAAATTTTAATCCCCCACCTTCACCTTTAGGCATATATGCCCATATATGGCGTCAGAACTCCATTTTCTGTCTGATCTGGTTCTTGTAAAGGTAGAGACTAGCTGGAGGAGTCAGGTACTTACTGGAGCGGTACAGGTAGGCGAGCATTTTTGCAGCCTCTTTAGCGATAGATTTTATATACAAGTTCAAATTCTGGGTTGGGCTTAAATGCCAATAACCAAGGAATGCTGGTAACATATCTATGAGATACTTGAATTGAGTAGTGGCGAAGGTTTTTTTTTTATTTTTAATCATTTATAGGCATGCAAGCCACTAAGACACAAGGTGTTACTGAATATGAAAGAATAAGGAAAAATACAAACTGTATTAAAGAGCGCGAAAATTAGAAGCGTCAACACAATTCCTCTCTTTGTCTTTATTTCTGGCCCTAACAAGGCCACAACAGACTGAGATGATAGATAGATAGATAGATAGATAGATAGATAGATAGATAGATAGATAATGAACAGGCTGAGATAGTCAATAAAGCCACTAAGACACACGGGGTTACTGAATATGAAAGAAACTACTAAAGAGCAGGAAAAATACAAGCGTAATCAAGAAGACAGTAGATAGCGATTGGCATTGCATTTAAATTTTTGAAGATCAGTGTTGTCTGAAAAGCATGCTGCGGTAACCGATTTCCACAAGCGAGAAGTGCGATTAAAGAAACTGTTAGGTCAATTACCCACCCCCTCTAGCAAGGCTATAATGCCACTAAGACGCAAGGGGCAGGGGGGGACTATTGAAAATGAAAGAAAATGAAACGACTTTAGAAGGAACCGGAAACACAGTCCTGAACGGGAGACAGGTGATAAACCTCTACTCCTGTTCAAAAGACAGGGGAGGAGTGTGAACCGGACGATAAGCGAACCCGTCCATCCTATTGAGGAGAAAAATAAATAAATAGTGAATATAATATCAGAATTCAGGCGCAGACGTTAGAAATATTGAGTTGAAGCAGACTTTAGAAGTTACTAGAAACCCAGTCCTAAACAGGAAAAAAGACTCTAATCCTGTTTTAAAAACCCGAAAAAGGATATATATATATATATATATATATATATATATATATATATTATAAATTAAATTGATTTAAAATATTTTTTTTCGCTACACAGTTCTAACCATGTTTCAAAACAAATAAATTTAAACAAATAATTTAGATAAATGTTTCAAACCGTCATTTAACACTTCCCTTTAAAATTTCTCTCTGTTAAATTCGAATCCCCACCTTCACTTTTAGGCCTTCCTATTCTTCTTTAGTCTGTTACCCCCCTCTAGAACTTTCTTTTACCTCTCACATTCGTCCCATACTCTCATGCATACACTTTCACTAAATCTTATTTTTTATTCCCGGAGTTATTTTTTCCGATTTCTTTTTGAATTTTTAGGTCTGATGAATTGGATCGTGATTACGATTCCAATGTAATAAGTTATAACCATGGAATATTAGTGTTTAAGCCTTTTTATTATATCCTTACTCTGTCCTGGACATTGATATATATATATAGGATTAATATGAGCAAAATGTTGTCGCTTAGCTGATTGCAGAGAGCGGGAATTTAGAGAAGGAGAGAAAGAAATAGAAGGAAAAAGAGAGAGGAGAAACATATATAAATAGCAAGAAAGAAAGAGAAATTAAGAAAGAAATAGAGAGGGGGGAATGAAAGTCGAAATGGAGAGAGAAGGAAAGAAATAGGGTTAAGAGAATAAGAGAGAAGGAGAGAGAAAGCGCCAAAGAAAAGAATATAACAGACAACATGGAAACAGCCTGATGGGAAGAAGCCGTTGCGAGTGGAGAAAGGAAGAGGGTGAAGAAATAGTTAAGGAGAAGTGGAAAAAGCGAGAAGAGAAAAAGAAAGTAGGAGGAAAGAAGTAAGGGTGGGAGAGAAGAAGGAAGAAATGGTGGGAGGGAGAATGGGAGGAAAGAAGCGAAGGAAGGAAAGAAGGAAGGGATGAACGTATGAAGGAAGGAGAGTGGGAAGGATGAAAGAAAGATGGGAGGAAAAGAGGAAGGAAAAAAGAAGAAAAAGAAGAAGGAAAAAAGGAAGGAAGATATAGACAGACGGGAATGGATCGAGGATATTTAACTGAAAGGTTTAATGACGATAACAATTAGCATGAAGAAATACATGCATCTCTCTCTCTCTCTTTCTCGCTCTCTCTCTCTCTATCTATATATATATATATATATATATATATATATATATATTTTGAATTTGTAGGTCTGATGAATTGGATCGTATTTACGATTCCAATGGAATACATTATGACCATGGAATATTAGTGCATAAACCTTTTTATTATATCCTTACTCTGTCCTGGACATTGAGTTCTACCTGGATTCTATCCTCTTGGAAACTTTATATATATATATATATATATATATATATATATATATATATATATATATATATATATATATGTGTGTGTGTGTGTGTGTGTATATATATATATATATATATATATATATATATATATATATATATATATATATATATTTATATATATATATATATGTGTGTGTGTGTGTGTGTGTATGTATGTATGTATATATTAACCACTGATATTATCACACACACACACACATATATATATATATATATATATATATATTCTTGCTTTATGCGGCCTTGCGTCATCATGGAGGAATACATTATTTTTCCTACAGAACGATTTTCTACCAAACGTTTATGGACACGTTACAACTGCTGGGCGTATAAATGTGCATTTAGCGCTCTATTGGGCTTAATGAACTCAAAATGAATAATAAAACGATGATCCCACTACCTGTACAACACTACCTTTCTTCCATGGAGTTCAGCTTTTGGTATCGCTTGTGGAGATTTATCCTTGTCAATCCACTGCTTTTTGCGTTGAACCCATTTTTCATCACCTGCTACGATATATTTAAGCAACAGTTAGACTGATGCGTTCATCATTACAATTAGTTTCTCTAAAAGGAAATTACTTATGACTTAATCCATTGGTTCCATATCAGTGCGGAGTGCTTTATGGGTGTGGCGGAAGTAGATAGCCGGTGAGGCGGAGGGAATGACAATCAAAGCTTTACAAACAGTTTCATATGCCAAAAATAAATTAAGTATTAAGAATCTAGTTACTATGGTCTGCAAATTGGAGGAGAGAGTTATCAATGATAATGTTCTGAATCAAATCTACGGTTATCTCTCTTTCACACATACACACTCACACATCCATCTCTCTCTCTCTCTCTCTCTCTCTCTCTCTCTCTCTCTCTCTCGTTTAATTGTGTGTATAAGTTCCAGTAAATGTCGCAGCCACTCAAATCCTACTTGGTTTATTTCAGGTTTGAATCATCCTAGAGTCTTCCCGAAACTCATTTTATGGCTTCTAGTTATTATTAATTTATTTCTTTTTCTCTCCTCAATACTTAATTAATTTCGATGAATTTCTTTTCATGGTTTAATGTTAATTATTTCCTGTTTTGTCATTAGGCATTACCAGGCAGTAAAATGTTGAACTAGGGCAGTGGATCCCAAACAGTGCAGTGCGCCTCATATGTGCGGCGAAAGAGGATAGCAGGTGAGGCGGAATGATTGAAAAACAATCAAAGATTTCAAAAGATTTATATGTCAAAAAATAAATATGATTTCAAAATTTAAAATATTATTACAGATTAATTGTAATTGCATATATAAGTGTCAGTATGAATAGTTATAAATAATTACTGACTGATTTTATCATTGTGATATTTTTGCATTATATAAAGTATTAAGAATCTAGTAACTAGGGTCTGCAAATTGGAGGAGTGAGTTATCAATGATAATGTTTCTGATTTTGAATCTGCAGTTATCTCCATTTAACCCTCTATTTGTACTTTTTGCATGCATGAGTCCTAGTATATTCATAAATAATTATTGACCGGTTTTATTATTGTGATATGTTTGCATTTTATCAAGTATTAAGAATATAGTAACTAGGGTCCGCAAATTGGAGAAGAGAGTTATCAATGAGAAAAAAACTTGGATACAACCTTTAAGGTTGCTCAATATTTAACGGGAAAAAAAGTTTAATAGCCTGCATTTTATTTGCGATGCCCTGCACAAATGCAACAGGATTGACCCATTTGGGGGGAAAGAACAATCATAGGCGAAGAAAAATATTTAAAAACATTGTGGCGCGAAAAGGATTCTGGAGAAAATGAAAAGCCGGTCTGCAACCAATTTGATTTGATTTGATTTGTTTAACGGCATATCAACTCTTTATGAGTCATTTAATGTCGAAATTTAATTTGGTGGGGAGCTTTGAAGGAATAAAAATATTATACATGTTATTTTGCT